TATATATATATATATATATATACATATATATATATATATATATATTGGACATTGTTAACATACTCTTACCGTAATTTTAGTTGGAATATCTTAGCAACTTACACCAAAACTTTTGGACCAAAAAGCCAATCAATTTTTTTTTCTTTAATAAACTTACTTGAAGGATATTATAGTAATAAGACCTTCAAGTAACCTTCTGATGGGAGTAATAGGAAAATATTTTTTTTATTTTGAATCTTCTAATATAATATTTCAAATACTTTGAAAGACTTGTGTTTGTGAGATATATAGTAAACCAATTTTTATTTAGAATAATCATCGATAATGACAACAAAACCATAATTCTGCCTCCCAGACTTAGAGTTTTAGTAGGACCAAAACAGATCCATATGTAATAGTTTCAAAGGTCGGGAAATGGAAACAATATGTTTAGATTTAAAAGGAGTTTTAACTTATTTTTCCTTTTGACAAGCTTCACAAAGAAAATGAGTTTTCTAGGAAATCTCAGGCAATCCTCTTATTAAACTTTTCTTGTTAAGTTTAGAAATATGTTTTAAATTTATGTGCCCAAACTTTTTGTGTCAAATCCATCTTTTATCTTCTTTGTAAGCTTAATAGGTTGCATTGTGTTTGACTATGCATAAATCCTTGTCAAAAGATATCGTATATCCACTGTCACAAAATTGACATATGTTAAGTAGGTTATACTTTAATCCATGAACATATAATACATTATTAACAGTAGGTATCAATATTTTACCAATCTTACTTATACCTATGATTTTTCCTTTATTATTTGCCTCCAAACGAGATTACTCTTTTATGTGTCGTAAGCAGCCACTATCTAAGTACCAGTGTGAATCCTTCCTTTTTCCCACCAAGGATGTCTCTAATCTTGTTTCGCCTACATCTATCATGTGACAGATGTTGGCCTCTCATTGTTTGAACTATTGTTGTTGTTGTTGTCCAGATCCACCCAAGTGCCCACTAGACTCTTCTTGGTCTTCTTTTTGTTGGTCCATCATTTTTTGAGTGTTGGACATTCAACCATCATATGTCTAGGCTTTTTACACTCACAACAGATGACCTCTTTGCTTTCTTCTTGGACAAAGACTTTTGAACCTATTATTGTTTTTGTGAAAGCTCCTTAGTCTTCCCTTCTTTTTAAGCATGTTATTGAACTTCTTAGACATAATAAATATCTTATCATTCATTTTCTCATAATCTAAGCTACTATGCTCAAACTCAACCATCAAAATTTTGCCCTTATACCTTTTTTTGTTGGTTTCACCAGTCCTTAGAGCAACAAAATCATTTGCTATTAGATGATCCCTATTATTCAAATGGACTTCATGAACTCTCAAGTCTACACTTTTTAAAAAAAATTGAGAACTATTGATATTTTTTTTCCATTAATTCTAATTGACGGATAATTATAAAACCACATTTAAGAATCCATATAACAAAGTATCCTATGATATTCAAATTTTTAAAAAATTTGTACACTTGAACTATACATTAAGTATTTTTAATATAACAGTTGGGTCGTTTTGAAGTTCAACATACACCATGTGTTAAAGTAACTTTATCAAGAGTTATTCTTTAGAATAATTTGATTCTATATGTGTGTGCGCATGCATGAATGTGTGTACACATGCACACACACGCACAAGAGGAATTCATTTAATTCATTCAATATCTCATGTCAAATTTTAAAAATCTAATTGTTAAATTATTTTTTTTATATTAAATTAAAAAAATTTAATTCATATATTGAGTTTACAAAGTTTTAAAAATTATTGAATACTACATTTCGTTAATTCAAATTAATGGATAATCATAAAAATATTTTCTACGTTGATTTGAATTAATAAAAAAAGATATCAAATAGTTTTCAAATTTTTTTAAAATTTACGTATTTAATCTATGCATTAAGAACTTGTAATGTAAAACAAAAATCTATGTAGACTTACAAATCATGTTCTACATCAAATTTCAATGATTCAACTATTGAATTAAAAGATTTTAGAGCATCAATCAAATCTACTAATTTTAAAAAAATTTGAAAACTATTTTATTTTTTTATTAATTTAAATTAATTAATAAAATTCTTTTACAATTAGTCATTAATTTGAATCAACTGCGTACTCAATATAAAGTCATTTATTTAGATAATATACAAATATGTTCAAACTTCGTGTGATTATTGAATCCCTATTATATTCAGTTTGCTGTTAATCAAGTTTCTCGGGCACTTACAACTTTTCACGTGCTTCATTAATTGGATTGAAATATGTTTTTTCCCATTCTTGTTCTATTTTAGTTACAAATTCAATAACGTCATTTGTTTTGTAAACTTAAACGGCGTTAAGATTCCTTCGTAACCTGGACAAGAATTCTAATTGAAGAACTCCGAATATTCAACCATTTAATCAGAAGACTTTGTCATCGTTGGCACACCCCAGCATCGAAGGAATATTATTTGATGCTTTTTTCTTTTTTTCCAAGACTTATTATATTACTTCTGTTATTTATAAGAGTCAATTTAGGATAATTATTTTTTTATTTTAAATAAAATTTAATTTATATTATTTTATATATTAATTATTTTTTAAATTAAAAATATTTTTAATTGAAGTGTGTTATCTTCATTAAGTAAAATGTATTATTATATTTTAAAAAAAAAATACACTCTAATTTGATAGGAGAAATATGAGTATTAATTAAAAGATATTAATAGTATAAAAAATTCATTCTAATTGATGAGAATATATATTAATTTTAATTAAGAAAGAGAAATAATATAGCAATTAAATTAATTATTTTAATTTATTTATTTTGATAAATTATAATATAGAAAGAAAAGTAATATATATTTTAAAGAATAAATGGATCGGATAGTTCAAAAAATACGAATAAAGAGGATTTTATCCAATACGATTGTCCAAAATTCAAGATGCATGTGTTGGACTAAATTTATTTGTAGACAATAAATTGACCACATATAATTTGAATAATATTATGTCTCGATGTTCTATTCAGTTGCGTGACACTGACAGAGTGACAGGGACACGGGGAAGAATTTTCTAATATTAATGTGAATATGATCACGTTTCTTTATCACTTGTAAAACTCTTCGATACAAAAATCGTGCACTTAATAAACTCTAGTTAATTCAAAAACTAAACCTTAGTTAATTCAGTCTCTTTGTCATCTACATGCATGGACATGAGCCACTTCATCTCAGAAATCTCAAAGTGCGACCAGAATTTTTTTTTTTTTTTGAATATTTCATAAGAAAAACTAAACAGATTAATGACCAAAAAACCAAGTCTATTAAAGAAGAATTCATAAGATGATTTTAAAATATTATTGTATTTACTTATCAAATTAGTTTTATTTTAATTTCTTTAAATACTCACTACTACATATACCACATTTTGTAACATTTATGTGCCAACATGTAACAAAATGTTACTAATTTCTCTTAATTATATATTTTTGTAACATTTTTAACAATAAATGTTACCAATTCATTTGAATTATATTCTTTAGTAACATTTTTAATCATAAATGTTATTATTTTATTTACATTATATATTTTTTCTTGACTTTCTAACACTAAATATTATTAATTTATCCAATATTTTAAATATTTTTAATAATAGACTTTACTATTATTTACTTAATTACTAATTTTACATAATAATTATTGTTTTTACTTAAAATTTATTTTATTATTCTTAAAGAAAAAACTTGATTAAAACGTTATATGCTGCGTTTCTGCACCAAAAAAGGGAAAAAAGTACAGAGCTCTTCCCTGTTTCTCTTATCTAAGCTATGGCCACCTTCTATTTCGGTGATTTTTTTTAGTCGATAGTAATGGCAACGTTCCGTTTCCGTGATTGTTCTTTTCATCTCTCATTCTGCTCTTTTATTCTTCACGATCGGAAGCCACACACACTTGCATTGTGACCTAGTTTTCGAAGCGTTCAAGTAAGTTTCACGATTTTTAATTTTTCTCAACATTTTCATTAATCTAATCTTTGATTGAGTGCTTTAATCGAATCTTTTATGATTCAGTCTTCGATCCTTCTCAAGCCGAGAAAGAGACACCAAAGCATCACTTAGTTCAATTTCCTCTGACAGGGTTTAGTCATTTGCTAATTACATTGACAGCTCAATTTCCATCACTTAGTTCCAAGATACTTTTACTATTTTAGAGTGAAAAATTAGTCTCAGTTCAATTTTTTTTTCATTCAATAATTTTCATAGATCTGCTTATTAAAGAATTTATTGAGACGAGATGAGAGTATGACATTTAAGCAAGACATTACTGGAAACTAGGATTTTTTATATTAGGAAATGCAAGATATAATTATTTATGTCAGTGAGTGAATAATTCTAGTTCTATTTTCTTCATTTAACAATTTTCAGGGATTTTTACATTTTTATGTCAATATCACTATTTATTATAGCACGAGAAAACTATATATAGTTTGAGATTGACCATCGACCACATACAAGTACAAGGTGTATGGAAAGAAATTCTAGATTGACATGTATATAAAGGGGGAAAACTATATATAGTTTGAGATTGACCATTGACCACATGTAAATAATAAGACTCATACCACTTTTTTGAAAATTGGGAAGGGTATATGGTGTATTAGTTATATAATTGTGTGGTCTGATGTGGAGTGAAGGTGCATAGATCTTACTGAGGCAAATACAAAAGTTTCATTGAACTAACAGATTTAAAATTAAATTACTTTGATATGTAAATTGATAGTACAGATTTTTCTGACATGGTTATCAGTCATCAACTCACCCTTTCACAAAAGTCTGTTCAAAATTGTTTATAATTTTAGTTTGCTAGATTGCATTTCAAGCTTCCCCTTTTGCTGCATTGAATTTGAGAAATAACCTTATGGTCCCACTCTATGGATCACCTAGTCTGTGATCATTTTAATTGCCTGACGGTTGGATTTTACTTTTGAATTAGGTAGCTAAACATCTGTAGGATTCCTTGTGTTCATTCTTCAATTTAATTTTCGGGTAAGTTAGTGTTTCTTTTCAGTTCTTGGGTTAAACTTAATAGGGATTTTTAATGAATGCTGAATTGCAATTTGAAGCGAAAGTTATTTATTATTTCAATCAAGCGATGCCTGTTAATGTGCTCATAAATGAATACATCTTTTATCCCATACACTAATACAGTCACACTTTTACTTTTGGACTAAAAAATTATTAACCTAAGGGATCTCTTTTTATTATTTTCGTAGCTTGATTGCTTTTGTGGGTATCAAAGTTGGACTGTTATTCTAGTCACTTTATAGAATTTTTCCCTAGATATTTAGACTTACCTGTAGGCTCTCTCACATTCCTCTTCTTTTGAAATACTGATTTTGTTTTGCTGATAAGTCATTGGAATGTGGTTGGAACTATCCAGTTGAAACAATTTTGATCACTCATTTTTGTTTATAATTAGCATTCAATTTGAGGACTATGCAACAAAACTTTGAATTCATGTTGCCAAAGTTTACTTACTCTAATTTAAATTGAATGTATTCTTTCTTTTTTGTCATTACATGTTATGTTTTGTTCATTTTAGACTCGTATTTTTCAGTTGATTATTTAATTTAAAATTTCTATAAAATTTGCCAGGGAACTTAGTCTAGTAAAAGTAGTTGATCAAGAAAATTCAACAGTGTTCTGATAGAAAAAAAGAGACTAATCCAACATAGTGGAGAGCCCACAAATGGAATTGATTTGAACCAATCTATCAATTGCAATGCCCAGGCATATATCACTAAGAACCATTTCATTCCCATTACTTGTTCCATTACATCTCTGCAACATATCAATACTAGAAAAGCATATTTTTGTATGAAATATAACATCCAGAGCTTTTTCCAAGGTAAGATCACTAGAGTTCTCTGCACTGTTGGATGTTTATAAACTAATTAGTTGCATGTATGTAATAAAAAGTACAGAATTTCAACTGAGTCAGTTTAGATAATTTTTTTCCATAAACACTTTAGAAGAAAAAAATATAAAAGAAAAGTGAAATAAGTTTCTTTATAAGATAAAATTAATTCATGCATAAGCCAATTTGTAAAAACTCTC